AATAGCTGGGAGGGGCCATGGAATACCATTTCTGCCCTCCCCCGGTAAATAACGTACGGTCCCTTACAAATCCAGAGGCACCGCACGGTCTTTGGAAAACAGTGGAGGAGACACGGGTGAAATAGTTTAACTTTGACTCTCCCGATGGGTACATACGTGACTTGGGTTTATTTTCTAAACGTAAAAACCATGAATTGTATTACAACGAAATTTAATACACAAAGAGCCAACATTTCGGTGGTAACGCAGACGGACGTTTGTGATCGTGCTTGACGGATTAGTTTTTTAAGTTATTTAACCCTTGTCCTGCTGGCTTTCCAGGCACAATATTTTTCAATAATTTCATGTCTTAATTAGATCATATACCCCCAAATTTTTTGCTCTGCAGTGGCATAGTTACTTCCGCATTCGTTGCGTTTCGCTGCGGTGTGATACGTTGCACAAGAAATACCCCCAAATCGTACCTATACAGTGTGCTATATAGACGGTACTGTATGTGCAGAACAACAATTGTTGTGCTCCGTAGGCGCGCGAACAGTTAACAATAAAGATAGAGACAGCCCTCAGGTACGTATCCTATCGTACTTGAATCTGACGTCTATTCGAAGTACTGATAGACATCCGAACACGACATTAACTAAGTTAGTCGGTTAAGTGATCAGCTTGCCAAACATCCTGTCAGTAGTGAGAAAAAGTCTAATGAACAGACACAGCCTGTCAATAGCCTCTGCTAAGAAGATTTGTACAATCGGTCGAATACAGTACGATATTTACAAACCAACACGCGCGTACGCGCGATCCCGCCAAAATGCCTGGCAAGCCCACGATAGACTCAGGTTACCAGCCACTACAAGTACCTAGAATTAGTCAAGACTTCGCACTGGAACTTCGAAAATAAAACCACCACGAACATTTCAGGATTTACAGTACTTTCCATTCTACCACCTGACGACAGTAACATGATCCTAACTCAATGTGTCACCTGTGTTTACATATATATATATATATACACAAACAAATGGACCAGAAAACTTACCCTTCTTGGTGAAGCGAGAAGTCGAATTCGCTCACATGTAGTTTTTTTGTTTGTTTCTGTATACTTCAACGTTATCTGTATACTATTCTTTCGTTGTACGTGACCTAGTACTTCACCCTGTGGGTATGTGTGTACACTAAAGGTCTTCGCTCATTCCTAAATAATCAAAGACTTACTTTGTTGAGAAGGGAAATGAAGTTCTGACTTGAATGTATACCAATGACAGGTTTTCTCTGGCTCATAGCGTAATGATTCTTACAGCCTTTGTTGAATAAAGAATTGTTCAAACAAACGAGCAAAACAGTAACGTTATAACTACATTTCATTCTACCACCAGACAACAGTAACATCCTACCTGTCTGCCCACGACTCCCCAAGACGCACAGAAAACCCAGGACAACGCAGAAAAGACTTCTTACTCCGGCCATTTCCTTCACTTATGTGCCACGTACTGCATGGTGCGGGTTTTGTCTTTGGTTCAAGTCATTTCCTGTCAGTATTATTAATTCTACGAAACGCAGAAACCGTGACGGTGCACCGTGGAACGATTGGTCCCAAGACACCCTACAACTCGTGACTGTGAGTTCAGAGACTGGCTGCCACTACACAGGGCCCAGATTTCTGGCAGACTGACGCGGAAATGTAACAAACTGGATTATATATCCTAAAGCCAAAACAAACAAATACCTGAACTCTGACACACCGTACCTGATCCGTATAGACTTTAATCAGCATTTGAAATACCAATTGGTCGTTTAGAACTGTGTTTTGCATGCAATTTTAACTGGATTGCATATCTCTCATGATATCTTTACTATGAAACCGCGCTGTTACCCCACCATGTCCAGATCATATCACTGCAGTACCGATACAAGCCGCCAGAAATCTAGAAATTTTTCATTTATCTTGATCTTGATACAGTACTGCGTAACACCCCTCAGTTGGGGTAAAATACGCAGAGGGGGGGGGGGTGCGCAGCGGTCTAAATTACTCTCAAGAGTAGCAGGACCGCTTCTTTAAACTTGTCGGCCTCTGGTATTTCTAGTAAGGCCTGCGGAAGCGTGTTTCAATCCCTAACAGTCCAAGGGAAGTACGAGTACCTGTAGTAATCCTTGTGGAATGCTAGTGTCTTGTAGGAACTCATGTTTGCGTGCCTCGCTTTGCGCGGTGCGGGCGAGAGCTTCATAGATCAAGACAAGACAGTCCACCTGTATGTGTCATGTCGTGTCACAGACAGATACACACAAACGCTACCGAAAACTTCTTCGCCAATGTATTAATGCACCGTCAGTTATTAAACACAAAAAGTTGACTTTGGTTAAACAATGGAGTCTGAATTCGTCACGAGCCGGATACGTTATCGGAAAAGTCATTTGAAACTCCGGAAGGAAAAAGTTCACGGCCAGTGTGCTGATCGACCCTGTAACCTCTGCGTTGGCGTTTTGCCATGTGGTAAGGATTGCGGACTGAGGGACACACTTGTGCAAAAAGCATCCGCGGGGAAATTAATTTGCTGTACAAATGTTCCAGCAAATACCGCGAATCTAATTCTACCGCGGATATTTGTAGACAGATTGTACCAGGATGTTGCACGATATGCTATGATCGCATATGTATGTCCCTGCGGGGAGTGGGGAGATTCGGACACGAGTCAAGTTAATTAACGGTCGATCCCTTACTTCGACAGGGATCAGTACAGGGCAGGCAGTAGGGTAGCTAGGTTTCTCTAGCCTCCTGTGCAGGCTCCGCGGCTGGTGGAAAAGATTTATAGCCGGCCATCCTACAACCAGCCACCGGGAGAAGGTTCCGTCCCGTGGGTAGAATGGAACCTTCTCTCGGCGGCTATGTAAGATGGCCGGCTATATTAAAATAACGCGTTAAAAACTCTTTTCCACCCGCCGCGGGGCCTGCACAGGAGGCTAGGTGTCTCGTCCTAGGCTTTGATTCCACATATCCAGCTGATCATGGACACGTACACAGGACTACTCTCAGGTACACAAGCAACTCGGACTACAAATTAGCACAAACCAGTCAACGGTCAAAAACTGTCCCACCATGCACCCACCTACATCAGCTGATCTATGTTCACAGCACAACAACTACCTGTTATAAAGCCGACGTTCAACCATTCCCCGAGACATCTTTCATGGACTAGAACCCACATAATTAAGGCCAACATGTGTACATTTTATCCAGCACCTAACACTACCTACAACGCTACATCAAACACAACAAATTTAACACCATGAACGATACAAAACAAACAACATATCAAATAAAAAATACAATAAAATACCCGAGGTATAAAATTTTAGATTTCACTTGTTCATGTTAGTATATATTACTAAGTGAAACGTATTTCAGTCAGATGGCTGCTGTATTTCATTCATTCATTCATTCATTTATAAATAAGTTCCTTAATACGTTGATGAAGGTTAGACATCCAGGTAAACGATTCTTGTAAGAAAATTCAAACTCTACTACTGGATCAGTTAACGGATTTATTTCCGGACGTTTCGAGTGACATCCATCACTCTTCTTCAGCGTCACAAATGAACAGAGAACCGATTCACTCTTATATACAAGTAACTAGAAAAACCGGTTAAACAACAAGGTCCGTAAGAAGCTTTATCATGTAAAAGAACGGTTCACTCAATGTACAGGAATAGAACTAGAAAAACCTGTTCAACAACCGTAAGAGTCTTTGTCATGTAAGGAAGGTTCCTATGGTAAGAAATTACCATAGGAAATGTTACTGTCCCTTGGGCTGTGGCAGGGCGGGATCCCATGTGCTTGAGAGTTCTATGCGCAGTCCCCCCTTCCTGTTCAGGGTGGGGTTGTAGATGCGCTCATAGATGACCTCCTTCACTCCGCGCTCGTACCAACGTGGTTCACGGTCGAGGATGTCGGTCGTAAGTTCCTTAATGTTCTGCAGTTTTGGAAATCCTGATCATACACCTTGCGGGTTGGGGAGAGCCACATTCCCGCCCACGCAAAAAGATTAGGGAACCTTCCCCGATGTGAGTGGTTCAATCAAACTTTTCATAAATTGCTGATTATGAAACTGGGGTGTGAAATACTCCACATGTATTTTTTGGAACAGCCTATTGTGCTAGCATATAATTTATGAATGCTGCAGGAATAGCCTGTGTTACACAAGGTCTCGGTCGGAGGTTAATGACCCCCATCCCATTTTTTTCTGGGGTGGGGGCGGCAACTTCGGGATGGCCGGCCGCCAGGAGCGCGATTAGTCAGGCTACTGCAGGAAGGTACCGGTCTGACTCAGAAACACACATTCGGAAACACCATCACACATGCAGGCATTTACTCTGACCAAGGACATATGCTCTGACTGACTGACTTACAACTCCACCAACAGCCGGGTTTTATTTTGTTGTCTCAGTCAGACAATACTATAGTTGCATAGCAGACTGTATTTCACACTTGTCACCAGCATGGAATTGATGTGCTACCCAGTGAATGTGTCGTTTTAACATACAGTAAATGTGTCAAGTATTAACGTTCCATAAGGTAACAAAACATAGACATTTTGGGATGAAAATAGCTTTACAAGTTTGTCAAAACTCCTGCCAAGGTAAGACATAAAATTAACATTACCTCCCCCTCTGAAACACCAGGTCCTTTATTAATTCTACATGAATTTTACACAAACGAAAGAAATGCAGGGATTGAGAAATATAGCACAAGGAACCTAAGTTTGTTTTTGGTTGAAGATTCATTGGTCATTTGTAATTAACGGTATTATGTGCACTCTTCTTCAGTTTGTGGGCGAAGGGAAACAAGAATGATCTTATAAAATCAGCAACTGAGGAGACAAATTACTTTTCTGGCCCGTCTACGGTCGTCATGTTATCTTCGGGAAGTGTGATTCACACATTCCAAGAACGCCGGGAAGTCACGAACATGCCGCGGATATTCGGAACTGAAGTTCGGTCGCTCGGAAATGGTGACGACCGCTCCGAAAGGCGACGACCATACTGAGAAAAGGCTACGACCGTTCGGAAAGGCGACGACCGTTTACGAGACGGAAATTTGACCACGACCCCTGACAAAGATGGTCTAACCAGTTTTAGATCTGTTGTTACACAGTCACAAGTTTGTTTTTGGAAACAAATCAAACAAGTAGTTTCTTTTACGCAATTTCTTTAAAAGATATGGATGTATTTGTGTCGCAAATTATTAAAAAAAAAACGACAGAGTGTACCACGGTGAACATATAGTGGTGTAACTGGATATTTCTAGGTATGGACATGATATAAATAGAACTAAGGATAAAATAACGCCTTTTCATTCAGTGTGGCAAACCTGAATTTTCAAAGTAAATTATCCGGTCATTCGTGTAAGTTGAATTAATCATTTCCCACAGCATTCTGTGACGTCACTGACGAAAAACGGTTACCACGTGTCGCGATCGTAATATTTTCCTGGAGATTACTCAGAAAATAAATGTAAGAATGGAAAAATGCCATATTTTATTCGTAATTCGTCTTTTACTTCCGTCCTTGCAATGTGCACAGATTGTTATCATCCGACCCGCTCTGTAATGAATGAATGAATGAAAGACCTTTATTGTACGCTTGTGCTCTAACGAGCTAAGTACAGGTCATGGGTAGACAGCTCGGGAAAAGAAAACAGTAATGACACTTACATACTATATAACCTAATGCGATCTACTATTTACAGGTTCAGCTTCTTCTCGCTTCTTTACGCAGTTAAAGATGTACGAACATATTGAGCTAATTATACATGGTTTGTCAAGTTTCATGAGGAATTCGAATTTTTCTATTCTATCTAAATGTCTAAAGCTTGGGAACTTATCTATTACATAAGTATAGAGGGAATCCCTCTCATTTCTATATAATGTGCAGTCAACTACAAAATGGCATTCATCTTCAATATAATCTAGATTACAAAATTGGCAGATCCTTTGCTGTAGAGGAATGTGGTTGTGTCTTCCCTTTTCTATGTGGAGTTTGTGTGAACTTATCCGGAGTTTTGTGATGGCTGTTCTGTGTCGAATGTTTGTAATTCTCAGATATTTTTCCTCGTGGTAAGTATTTTTTAGTAATCTATATGTTCGTAATTTGTTGTTGTTACGAATTTCTGCTGTAAAAGTTTGGAAATACATGTCCTTTAAACGTTGATCAAGGGATGGAATAATTTGTGAAGAATTTAAGACACACGCCATCGGCGAATTCCATACGTAGGCAAAACCACACTCCTCTAGCGTCTTGCGGACTCCCGAAGCCCAGCATTTAGCGCCGGATGCATCCAGTTCAAGTTGACATAATAGAGCGTCTGCTGAGAGACTATCAACCGGCACATAAATTAGCTAACGACAGATATCGCGCATATTCAGTGCTGTTTCTAGAGTTTTAACATGGAAGTGCGACACTGTAATACAAAAGGACTGCTGGCTTTGAAGGCCTTTGAAATGCGGAAGATCAAAGCAAATTACTTAATGACAAGAAGGTGGGAGACAACCCCTTGGTTTCTAATCTCCTCTAATCTCCAAGCAGATCCCTTTCGGTGGTAGAAAGACAGTATCAAATTGGCCAGCCAATATTCATTGGCCAACCAGTATCCATTAGCCACCGACGGGTGGGGGTACGTACAAAAAAGGC